CCAGGTCTCTGGTACATTCTAGAGGATCCTCCCACCCCCTACCTCCCAAGGTTGCCTGTTTCCATTCTTTCTGCTGGCCCTCAGGGCTTCAGTCCTTTTCCCCTACCCAATACCAGATCATGTTCCCCTCTTCCCTTCCATGTTGCTTTTCCCACCCAGGTCCCTCCCTCCCCCGCCCATTGCTTTCTTCTCCCTCCCAAGTGGGATTGAGGCATCCTTCAAGCTTGTTAACCATCTTGAATTCCTTGGATTGTGTCCTGGGAATTCTGTATTTTTGGCTAATATCCACTTATTAATGTGTACATGCCATGCATATCCTTTTGGAGATGAGTTACCTCAGGATGATATTTTGTAGTTCCATCCATTTTCCTGCAAAACTCATGATGTCCTTGTTCTTAATAGCTGAATAGTATTCCATTGTTTACATTAACCACATTTTCTGTATCCATTCTTCTGCTGTTTCCAGCTTCTGGCTATCACAAATAAGGCTGCTATGAACATAATGGAATACATGCCCCTGTGGTATGGTGGGGCATCTTCTGGGAATATGCCCAGGAGTGGTATAGCTGGGTCTTCAGGTAGATTTATTTCCATTTTTCTGGGGAATCTCCAGATTGACTTCCAGAGTGGTTGTACCAGTTTGCAATCCCACCAACTATGGAGAAGTGTTCCTCTTTCTCCACATCCTTGCCAGCATCTGCTATCACCTGAGGTTTTGATCTTATCCATTCTGATTGGTGTAAGGTAGAATCTCAGTGTTCTTTTGATTTACATTTCCAGGCAGCCTTCTGCAGATAGTTTTTGGGGTTGGAAAATACTGGGTTTGAGTTGCTGCTTTCTTCTGTTTTTGTTTTTCTGAAATTCGTGAATCCCAGAACTCTTTGCCTTCTTTCCACTTTTTATAATTTCCTTCTGTGGCTTGAGGCACTATTTAATGGGTCTTTTGCTGTACCTAATAGAGTGGATCAAGGGACTATGGGTCTATACTCTTTTTTCAGCCTAGACCAGAATCAATAGTTTATGTATTTCTTTGTTATCAACATTTCTCTCTAGTCCTTTAAATTTTATTTTCTATGAAACACCTGACTGATTCTTTTCTTTCTATCAACAGGGCTTAAGCCAAAAGATTTCATGCCTGGACCTGCCTCTACATCAGCAACAGAAGTGAGACCATCCCAAGTATCAAGGGCCAGAAAGAAAGCTTCCCGGAAAAAACACTCCAGGAAAAAACCCAAGGATACGCGCAGGGTACCAGAACATGGCCAGGCTCTTCCAGGGATGGAAACAGGGGTAGCTTCAGTTTCTCAACAGCAGATTCTGACTGACACAGAAAGCAACACAGAACACAAACCCTTTAAATGTCAGCAGTGTGGAGATAGCTTTAGAATTCCTTCTGAGCTTGCTAAGCACCAGAGAGTTCATACCAAAGAGAAGCCTTTTACATGTCAACAGTGTGGTAGTAGCTTCCGGTGTGGTTCAGATTTTAAAAAGCATTGCCTGGCTCACCAAGAAATAAAACTACACCAGTGTTCCTGGTGTCCGAAATCCTTTAGTCGTAATACAAGCTTAGTTAGACACCAAAGAATTCATACAGGAGAGAAACCCTTTAACTGTATTGAATGTGGGAGACTATTCATTCAGAAATCTCACCTCATTAAACACCAGCTAACCCACATTGCTGACCGTCCCTATACATGTAACCTGTGTGAGAAAACGTTTAACAGACGATGGAGCTATATCAGACACCAGAACATACATAGTCAGGAAACTCAGACAGAATTCCTGGGCTAAGGAAAATTAGTATATTGCAGAGACAGAGTGTAAAGAAGGCTAAAAGTCTAGAAAAATCTAGGCAAGTTATGTTTCATATCATAGAAAGTCTGTACTGCTTCCCACTGCATTTCATTTTCAGTGTTAACCACACAATTTTTGTTTATGACTTTATGAATAAAAGAAATGAGAAATGAGAAATGAGAATATAGTTTGTCAACTATATCTGTAGCTACATTTTTCTCTGACACTATCCTCTGGTGTAAGGTACCATAAACTCTGATTTTATTCTTCATATTTTCTCAGAAGAGATGTAAAATGCTATTAGGGCCCCTGAAATCAGGAAGAATTAATATTCATGGGATAGTTTTAGCTGCTATAATTTTTATTGCCATAGACCACCAAAACCAAGAATCAGGGAACTTTATAAACAAGATGAGAGGATTGTGTTTTCCCTAAATGTTACTATTGTAATTGTCACCCTGAGTTCTTACAACAACACTGTCTAATTTCTTTTTTTTTCAAATCGTAATTTATACTCATTCACATAGGGGTTAAAAACACAAAAAGGCAGGACATGGGGAAGGGAATGACACTGGAGTGTGGGTGTTCAAGGGGAATACAGATATCTTTCAGAACAGGGGATAGGCTGGGTGAAGGTTCAGGGGACAAGTCACTATGACTCTGCCTATGACTCGCTTGTCCTTATCTAAGTTGATATTGTCTGCCAAGGCTACCTATTTACAAGGTCTATGACTACTCAGGCTGGTAAATTTCCACAAAAGCTGCCTGTTTATAATAGCTTATAGCCATCTGTTTCAATGTTTTTCCACTGAGACCCAAGACTTGGTGTTAGTATACATGTATGACAGGCCTATTGCTGATTTTAGGCCTATGACTTATTTTAGGCCTTCAGTGTATAAGCAGGGGTTCCTCTGACATCTCCTCCCTTCTCTAAGTATAGAAGGGCTGTGGCAATTCTAATCTTGTGAAGGCGGGGATAGAGACGTGACCTCCAGTAATTGAAGGGGACCTTGTAATGGCTCTGGTCCCCCTGTTGTTGTCCAGTGAGGCATGAGGGCCATACCCATCCCGTTGTCTTTTTCCTGGAGAGGGGATACTTTTGACATCAACCCCTATGCAGTCAGGCTTATCCCTCAGGGAACCCAGAGGGATATTTTTAACTTTTATTTATATTCCCTTGCAGTGAGTGCTTAGCCTCGCAGCCTAAGCAAGAGTTCAGATCGCCAGTCACAGGGGGTTCTGGGTGGCCCCTCTCTGCTTGGTCTAGGGGCAGAAGCCCTCTCTTTTAGGTTGGGTGGAGAAGGGTTTTGGGAACACCCTGGATAGAGTAACAACCTCATCTTGAGTCTCGTGGTCCTCCATAGCTAACTTATGATAATGTATCTGAATAGATTTTACTACCAAGTTATTTATCTGTTTTCTCACAGAGTTAGTCAGCCTATTTGAGGCCCAGGGACCAGAAGAAATAAGCACAAGTAACCCAATTAATGGTCTCAAGATGGGAGGAAGTAAGGTTGACAACCATGGAGAGGCTGAAAATCAATTCTTATACCAGCACTCATCTTTCTCTTTCTCTCTCTGACTTTTCTCAGGGCCTTCACTGACCTATTTCATGCTCTCTTTAACCTTCCTTGTCTTGTCTATGTAAAGGCAACCTTCTTCTCTGAGGGCTGTACACAGTCAAGAGCTGTACACAGCCTTTTCTATTATAATAGAGTAAATCAAGTCCAATAAGGATCTTTGTGATTTTAGGAGGTCTCTTCAGACCGTGAAACGAGGGCTTTCTTCAGATTAGTGATGTCAATCTCTAGCTGTTTGATGTTCTTGTCAGTGGCCCTTCAAAGGTCTGAGTAGTATAAGTTCGGAGGCCAGCATCTGGATTAGAACTTCTAACAGCAGACATCACGGGTGACTCATTTTTACCTAAAAAGGAAAAATAAGGGAATTCTCAGGGAGATTTCTCTTCCCTGGATGTAAATTGTTATTCATCTTATTTATGGTTGGGCCTGGTTTTGTGGGGTTATCTATTTCATTAATCTTTTTGGTAGCCGGTTAGCTGTGCCTTCTGTGGTATCAAACAGGCATATCAATCCTCGGGCCCATAAGGGAACTGGGTCTGGGCCATTCCCTTTAAGGGTAAGAGGGTCCTTCCCCATAGCTGTGGCATAGTTTTTATTGGTCTTGCCAGAGTTTTTATTGGTG